CAACTAAGCTTTATTAAGACGGATTACAGAAAATAGACGACGAGAAAGACTAGAAAAAGTCGAGGTCGCCCTCCCTCCCCACCCTCGTGAGACAGGACCAAACATGCACAGACTTATCACTCATCATCACTCTCCGAAACCACCAGCCCCGTCCCCGTCCCGCCGGCCGGGAGGCGGGCGAGGTGCCTAGTAGGATCCAGATAGCGGTGCAGAGTACCCAGAGAGCGGATGTGTGCGGAGCGCATGAGATCCTCATCGGAGACCCCCTGAGACTGGGCATGCTGCAAAGCACCCCGACGAAAACTGTGCACCGTCTCTCCACCGTATAGCCCAGCAGCGGTAAGATGAGCGACGAGGCGATATTCCAGGGCCTCGGTCGTCATCGGCGCCTCCCGATAGGCGCGGCCACTGCGCTCCGCCGGACGGAAGAGGTATTGGGTAATAGGGGTACCGGCCCTCGTACACGTGCTCATGTACACTGCAAGAACCCGCAGCGTGCAGACGAGAGGATCACGATCCGGACGCAACATCGTCGCAGGAGCACGCTGACCCTTGTACGTCTTGGTATTTAATTCTTCGATACGTAGTACAGTGTCGGGAGAGACACTCCCGTCAGGCGCGGGTAGGGGTAACGGCCAGCCCTGGTACGCGGTACGGCCATGCACCGGATCCCTGAAATCACTTAACACCAGCTTGCCGACATCATGACCGCGCTGATACGTATGCCACATTAAAGCAAATAGAGACAAGTCCCGAAGCACCAAACTGCGAGCAAACAAATGCTCTTCGTCGCCGGACGCAGTCCACAGATGGCAGGCCAGGCGACGAAACTTCTCCGCGGTCAAAGGGATGGCGCCTCGCTCCACATAACCGGCGTCACTAAGGTCCCGCCCGTAACCCTTGACATAGCCCCGCACCAATGAGCTGTCGCAAGGATTCCCGCGGCTTTGAGAGGCGTCATAGTCCCCTTCCCGGCCCAGCTGCTTAAAGGCAGTCGCAAGGCTCGAGATAACCCCTTTCACAGCACTGGCGCTGGGACGCCGGTCAGCCCGCAGACGCCCAGGGTGCCGGGGGAACCACCATTCCACCAGATACGAAACAATGGACATAGGATCGCAGGTGAGCAAGGTGAGCCCGAGAG